TCAGATGAGGCGGCCCCAGAATGCACTGAGGTGCTCCAAGAAGCCCAGAAAGGTGCTGCTGGCTTGGGCAGATTGTCCTGCTGGATGAAAACACTGACAGCTTGCTACCCTAGAGTTAACATGGCACTGAAATAGCAGCAGAAAACTATTCTACAGGGCTGCTGTTTATACTGAGCAGTAGTGGATAAGCATCATCATTCTCCTACTAGGTGTACCTTTCTAGAGTTGAGCTTTTAACAACAGACATACTTGTTTCCTATTACATTGGCCGTATGGAGACTGCGAGGAAGTGGTACTGTCCCTTTGGTTTCTGGTCTTGACCAGGTCATGGTTTCTAAAAGAAAGAAAATAAAGTCCTCAAACAACAAAAAATATATCTTATTGCTATGTATTTCACTATCTGGATTTTAGGAGGGAATACACCTCTAATATTCAGGAAAGCTAAATTTCACCTTTTTAAAATGGCGACTTCTAGAAAAAGGGTGCAATAACAAGAACTTGGAAGTTCTTTAAAAAAAATCACAGGAAATACTGACAAACTAAGTGTTTGTCAAAAACATAAATTATGGTTTCATTATGGGTAGTCAGCTTTGTTTCTTTAGAGTGCTTTAATGACTATGATACCTGTCTCATAGAGTACCTATAATCAGTGAGGATAATATATGCAAACAATACTCTATCTATTTAATTCCAAATATTACAAAAGGTTAACACTATGGTGTCAGTCTCAGTAATATCTGCACGACAGCATGCCATTAACCTTTCTATATTGTAATACTTCCCCCCTCAGCCAGTAAGCACTGACTTCTGCTGGCAAACCAACTCACCTATGTCAAGTTCCCAGAGATCATTAAGCCGACAGCCACACATGCCTCCAAAAATATACATCTTCGGGCTTCCCACATCTTTTCTGCAGTACACTATGGCTGTGTGAGATTCTCGGGGAGATGGCAAGATTCCTTTGGTCACAGGAATACTCCAGCCGACCACGCCAGACCCATGTTGCAGCTCCAGTTCATAGAAATCATTTAAATATCTAGAGTATTATTGTCAAAGCATGAAAAACTCACTTATAAGCATGACGACATATGTACTTTAAACCCTGACCCCTTCCAGGTATTATAGACTTCTGTCTTGGGAGGTCTTAAAACATTTGATGTATTGTGGGCAGTACCAAATCTGGATTTAAAATGGATTTCAAACAAAAAAAAAATAACAGTTATAACTTGTTGCCTCTGAGAAAACATGCTCTCTTATTTGCTACAGTGTATTACATGAAAGAAACATGAAAACAACATTTCTTGCAAACATTGCTACATACAGACACACAAACTGCAAAGCTGTGGGAAATACATGATGACAAGAGGTATTAGAGAAATTTCTGCAACTCTTAAGGCAACCAAGGTGACAAGAAGCTGTTTGTTTCCTTGTGTCTTCAGGCTGGCCAATGCACAATTAGCCATTTGTTGCTGAATCTATAAGCAAGTTATTTTTAGATAATGGTCTTTAAATCTTGGCACTCACACCAGATACCTTTTGTTTACTGAGCTTGAAATTGCCAGTTTATAGTTCAGTGGCTATAAGTGCTCTGAACTGCAGGTGAATGTGGATATAAAACTTCAGCATTATAGCACAGTTTGCTGACAATAACAGCGACTTCAGCTGTTATTGTAAAAATTTCCAGATGAATTGATAACTGTTTTTCACAGCAATACAGAAAAACCATCCATCATGAATTCCCTGATGACTCATGAGACTCTGCTGATTGAAGTAATTCCAACAAACAAGCCATTCTTAAAAACACCACCCAAAATACCAGGAGAAATACAAAAGCCTACTCAGGTTTCCCTACAAAACTGTCAGAGCTGTCACTCAATGTTCCATATTGTGGGATTAGCAGAAGGAATACCTCATCTTCGTCACCATGTAACCTCTTCACTGCACAAATAATCCAACTTTGAGCACTTGGTGTGCAGGACAGCCTGCCTAGAATGTTCCTTTTCAAAGCTGTCAAATCAAGTAATTTGTTTATAAGTCATTAAAAACAAAGACAAATAAGCATACCTGGGAACATTATTATTTGAATCTTCACTTTCATTTGCCAGGCCACCAAATAAATAGCACTTGTTACCATACAAAGAAAAGCTGTGGCCAAGCCGAGGACAGGGTGGTGATCCATTTGAAGGAGCTTGAGGTTTTACTTTTTTCCAGAGCCATCGACTTGCCTTGAAGACAAGAAAAAATTATTTAGAAATAATTTCATTGATAGTCTGCCATAACAAATAGAATTCATATAATATTAACATTTGTATATTTTCTGAGTTACTTTTAAGGGAATGCTGAGCTTTTCTTAGGACATTCATTAAAAGGGATATGTAAGAGCTAACCTTAATAAAATATTAAATATATTATACTGCATTTAGACTAGGTGAAAGTCTCTATTTCAAAGTTATTTAGAATAAACTTCAGATTCTTAAGATGGAAAAAATCTTCTGAAGAAGAGCAAAGATCATCTAACTTTTCTCTGCAGTTGGTAAAATAAAATGTGTTTCTTCATAAACAGATAAATAAAGTAGTCCTGAAAATCAAAACATATTCATATATCTCCTACCTGTAATTCATATAAATCATTGCTATATCTTCCATATTCAACCATTCCTCCAAAAACTAATATTCTGGTACCATCACAAACAAATCCATGTGCTGCACAGCCTGGAGGAATATCTCCCCTTACAGCAGGAAGGAACCATTGATTCGTAACTATAGTAGGAAATAAAAAACCAAAACCCAGAAAAATAGATTAGAAAAATATTTCAAACACTGAAACATGTATTTTTAAACACCTTTGCTTTCTAAAGAATTACCTTTGCAGATAACTATGACTATTTGCTTCACACTATGTTTTAAATGAATTCTTATTTTCTTTAATAACAAGAAAAGCAAACACTTCTATCAAACCAATATTACTCAGTATATGAATGAGCCCATGAGGTCACTGTAACTAAGTCAGTCATGAAGGGTCATCCAGCAATTTAACAGACTTGCCAAGAATAGAGGCTAATGAGGAACACAAGTGCAGTTCCACACAAAAGAGATAACCACGCTAACTCAGAGGGAGCTAGCCTAGAAACAGAATTATTAGAGCTACAGCAGCATGGCACTGTGCCTGGACTTAATAGCCCTATTCAAAAACTAATTACACTGTTCTGGGACGCATTTTAATATCCACAGAGTGGGAGAGGAGAGGCACAGAGTCAAGAAAAAGCAACTGAGACTGTCTGATCCAGCAGCATAGTGATGCCTAAACTGTTCTGGAATTTAAGAATTACAGGGGACAACGTCTTATTTTTCCTACACTTTTGTATGAGTACAAAGAGGAGAAGTAGGAAATTAGAAGCTTCCAGTGAGAGTTGCTGCAGGGGATTAAGATGCTCTCACTGTGTGCCAGCTCCTCAAAAATCATCACATGCATAGCAAGGGCCATGGATAACATCCCACACTCAGGCAGCAAAGGTCATAACCCTGCATCTTAAACCCCAGAATAAAATAGGTCAGTTTAGGCCAAGCACTCATCCAGAAACTGGAACAACTAAGTCACGATGCTTTTTGTCACTGCTGCAAAGGGGAAACAACTTGAGCAGAAAGTCTGGGAAGAAAAGAACCAAGTCATGATAAGATTCACTCAAAAGGAACCTGTCAGAACCTCTGTTCTGATGGCATAACTATGTTAACAGTTTTCTTTGGATTACTTGTCAGAACAGAAAGGTTAAGAGATTTTTGTTTCCTTCTCCCCCCAGGAATGTGATTTAAGCAAAGTAGATCTTTAAGCTATCCAAGAAAAATCTGCCCGGAAAAACCTCAAGCAGCCAACACTGCACAGATCAGTCACTGAACTCCCTCGTCTCGGCCCAAGCCCTGAAATCACACCCAAGTTTTCCAGCCCCATCCAGCATTTCGTACAGTAACCATTTAGGCGTCTGATCCTTCACACATAAAATCGGTCTTGGGCAGCTTCCTGTTTGGAAAGGCTCCCGATGCCAACATGTTGGCTTTTCCAAACAAGCTTCCCATTGCAGCGCCTTCTCCTCTCGTGAGCGGCCGCCACCAGAGGGAAGGCGGGGATCCGGACACTCGCGGGGACTAATCCCGCCCGCCGCCATTCAGCCGCGACCTGCCGGGGGGAGAGGCTCCGCCGGGACAGCACAGCAGCCGCGACACGCTCCGGGCGCTGCTGCCAGCACGGAGCACCGAGCCCGCAGCAGAGCGCAGACCCCATGCCCAGCCGTATTTCCCGCCCCGCCATTTCGGCTCCGGGCAGCCCCTCAGCCCGCCCGCCGCCCCTCGGCCGAGCCCCCCGCGGGCAGTGCCGGGGGAGGGCGGGAGGCCCGGGGGATCCCCGGCGGAGCCCGGTGCCAGCGGCGGTGGCGGACGGGACGGCCCCGCCGCTGTCCCCCCCGCCCCGCGGCGCGGCCCCGCCCCGCGCACCCGTGTTGTAGACGTGCAGCTCGTCGGCGATGCCCTCGTTGCCGCCGCCGAAGATGATGAGCAGCTCTCGGATGGCGACCGCGCGGTGCCCGTGGCGGGAGCGCGGCACCGGCCCCGTGAAGGAGGACACCCGCCTCCAGCTCAGCCCGGCGGCGGCCGCCGCCATCTCAGCGCCGCTCCCACAACGCACCGCGCGGCCGGGGCAGCCCGCCGGGGAAGGGGGAGCGCTGACGTGAGGGCGGCGGGTCCGTGTCCCGCCCGTGTCCCGCCCCGCGGCCGCCTCCGCCGCAGCCCCGGCTCGGCGCGGCCCCTCCGCTCCGCGGCGCCCCGGGCCCGGCCGCGCTCCGTGCCTGCAGCGCCCGCCGCCCGAGGGGCGCTCGGCACCGCGGAGGCGGCGTGGGCTCCTCTGCTGGGGGCAGCGCTCTGCCGCCGAGCCCTCAGAACGTGTAGCACATTCCTTTTTTTTTTTTTTTTTTTTTTTACATTTTGTTTTTTTTTTTTTTTTTTTTTTTTTTTAAACTGGCTATCGGTAGGCGAGGCAATGCTGCTGCCTGCGATGCGTGCGGCGAGAAAGAAATGAGTTGCTGCCGTTTAAACACTGCAGGCTGAGATTAGCGACCGAGGTTTCGGTTCTGCAGCTGGCAGCTGTAGAAACGGGGTGATCTGAGTGAATTCGAAGGTTTCGCCCTGCAGGAGAGAAGCTGCTCTTTCCTGTGTGAGGGGGGTGTTGTGTGAGAAGATAAACCCGTGAGGCTGAGGGGGAACCAGAAAAAAACTGTATCTGGTGCTAAAAGTCTCTTCTCGTTGAGTTCCACAAGGTAAATGATGATGCTGAGACGTGTAATTCAGGCTGGACGTTAGGAGGAATTCCTTCATAGTAAAAGGTGATTAGACATTGGAATGGGCTGCCCAGGGATGTGGTGGAGGTGTTTAAGGAAAAACTGGATGTGGCACCTACCGCCATGGTCTGGTTTGACAAAGTGGTGCTTGGTTACAGGTTGGACTCGATGCTTTCAGAGTGCTTTTCCAACCTGGTTCTGTGAAGGTGTTACTGCATCGCCAGTTCCCGAGGGTTCTGCCAAGTGAAGGAGCCAGTCCCAGTCCTGCAGGCTCATATGACTGCATGCTGCTTAGATCTGTTCAGATTCACATAGAAATGGAAGTGAAGGTGAAAAAAACATGGGTGGGTATGATGAACATCAGCTTAATACAACTTAAATATCATAGCACACCAAAATACTAATAGTTGTGGCCATCTGCGCAAAGCATATAACTGTATGTATAACTCTCTTAAAAAAATTTTGTTCAAGCAAAAGATGGATTCCTCTACAAAATCAGACATACATAGTACAGTTTGGGCATGTTTGAGGCACACAGTTGAAATCCCACGTTTTTGGCTCCTGCAATGGAACAATCTTCATTTAAACAATTTAAAACAATTAAGATTTTTAAGACTGTTATTGACTAGTACTCATAAATTTGGCACTGCTTCATGATAAAAATACAAAAAATAGTTTAGAGTTTAAGATGTTTATTTTTATTTTAGTACTCATGAAAATCTTGTGACAAAACAGTGGTTTAGAAACATTTAGACAGTTCATTCCTAGAAGAGAGGGATGGAATTCAAATAAAAGAAGTGCTGTAGAAAGAAAACTGCAAAAGCATTCCAGAAGAGCTTAGGAGGCAGGGTATCACCATGTGCTGGTTACCTTGATCCAAGATCCTTTTGAATCCAAACCAAACCTGTGGATTAAATGCTCAAAGATTAGGAAATGAGATGATTCAAGTCAAAATGCATGTTCAGAGTTGACTTTTGCAAGTTTCCCTTAGCTTTTGACTCTCAAGAGCTCTGCCAGCAGACTCTGGAAAAACTTTGGCTTTCTCTTAGACTTTGGCATGTTACAGTCTGGCTCTTGCACACTAGTTATCTGTTCACATTTACCATAAATAATGACTAAAAACATAACTTGCAGCTAGATTTTGGAAGTAACTTCTGGAAGGGTTTGTTTCCTTCTCTTTCCCCCACCCCTTTAAGACTTTTTGTCTTATGGGATTTGTTTGCACTCTGCTAGCTGAAGCTCTGAGGCAAGTTTGCCAGATCTGGGACTGCATCATCCCTCTGCACATCTGGAAGTGGTTTATGTGCTCTCATTCCTCCAGCTCAGCGTCTGGGCTCTGCACTATTCCTCAGCAGCAGAGAAAGGAAAGAAAACCAGCACAACTCCAAAGTAAACTTTGAAGAGTTCGAAAAAGGAATTGAATCATAAAACTGTTACTGTGCCCTGTAAGGCCCTTGTGTGGGTGACTTCAAAGGAGGATGGTGGTCAAGGACTCTTTGGCAAGAGTGCTTACAGCTGTGGTCTATCTAGGATCCAAGTAAATAGCTCCACAGCACTTCAGGAGAGAAGAGCCCCGAGTACTGTGCTACTTTGAAGAGGTAAAAAGACTAATTAAGCAGGAAATATCTGAACAGTAATGTCACTGTTTTTGAGCTTTCCCTTCTGCAGCCCCTCGTTTTGTTACAGGATTTGGCAGCTGAGTTAGGAATTGCCAGGTTCCAGGAAATAATGTCTACAGTAAATGAGTAAATATTTGCAGGGGAATAAATATACCTCTTTCCTTAAAAATCAGTAGGTAATCAATTGGCGTTTAAGAGGCTTAGCAAGGCTGTAGTTGTAGAACTCGGACTTGTGTGAGAGTCTGTCTTTGGATTTTAAAGTTTAAAACATGATTCAGTTAATGTGGATTTAATAATTTCTGGAGAGAGCATGAAGCTGTGGCTGTGCAGCTTTCATCTCGCAATGATCATCAGGGCTGTTTGTGGCTATTATTACAAAGGCTAATTCAAAGATAATGGGCAGTTCTGTGGAAATCAGGGGAAGATTGTGATCAGCTAAAGTGGGGTTAGAAAATTAGTTCAAGAGTGTAGCGGGTTCTATTGTCTCTCTGCTTACCTAAATGACTAAAGTTTTTAAGTGTAAAAGAAAGTAGTAAATCTGTGTAATGTATGAGAGAAAGGCTTTCTCAGCTATGGTTTTTTCCAACAGATAAGCTTGATTTCCTCTGTGTAAATTAATGCCACATGAAGAGAATGGTCTGCTGGAATGTAAATAAGTAGTCCAGATGTGGAAGAACTTCCAGAGTACTCCTTTCTCACTGCAATTTACTCATTAGCTGGGACTTAAATACATTTGAATATAAGTGGTGTGTAAATAATGCCACATCTTAGATTTTGTATATATATTTTTGTTGTTGTTGTCATTTAACTTTTTGGTCAATGTAGAGACTAATATAGTATTCTGCCTGAACTTGAGCACTAACCAATGAGAAGTGGTCAGTTTTGTGACTCAGATTTCAAGAATTCTTGCTGTCTGTCTGATTTGTCAAGGAGCTGGAACAAACTTCATTTTTATGTGTGCACAGATCCCATCTTATATCTTTATCTGTGCTGTAACGTGTCCATATCTATAGATGCAGAAGTAGGAACAATTGTTTTCTACGTAGTATAAAGGTTAGATCACACAGTTGGATTTTTCTCTCCCCTCCAACTTCTGGTGCTGTTTTTTATTGTTGGTTGTTGTTGTTTTGGTTATGTGGTTTGTGTTTTCTTTCATAGACAGTTGTTTTGGATCTAGAATTCAAATGAATGTTGTATTTCTCATAATCCTGTACATGTCCTCTCAGACATGGCTCCTCTCTAGTCCAGGTCTAGAAGCACAGTTTTAGGGAAAGCTACCTCCTTTTCTTCAGCATCACAAAAAATGTTCATTAATACAAGCCACACTACACCCATTGGAAGAAAATGGGTGTAAGAAAGTATTTTAACTATTGCTTTGAAATTTTTTGAAGGTCTAGAGTACACTGTCCTGGTATAAGATTCCCATATATTTGGGAATGCATATTCCAGCAAGACATTAGTATTTGCTATGGTTACTATGTTTGAGGTGAAATCAGAGATAATTATATTTATAAATTGCATTTGTGGATGTTTTAATACTTCTTTGCACAGTATCTTCAAATGTACTAAAAATCTCCTACTCATGTAAATGATCAGATAGGATTTATGAAAATGTTTTTCACAACCTATTAGTTGCTTAAATTATTAATAAAAATATTTCAAACCCATAATATTAGTATTTGTTCAAAAACAAAAAGGTATTTACAGAGATTAATTGCATTTTTACCAGTTCAGCAGTAAAATTTGATAATCCAAAACCTAGACCTTTATATAACTAACTAAATTCACTTCAGGCATTAACGATATTTCTCTTTTATTTATTTTTCTTTTAATTATTTTTTATTTTAGTTTACAGATTGCAGTTACAGATTACAGTTCTCATCCAACAGGACACATGGCTCTTTTAAAGAAAAGTAAGAGAGATTAAAAACATTTGAAAGATGTATTTTCTAAAAGAGGACAGAAATGTCAAATCCAATTTCTTATGCAACTGTTGTCACACTTGTGCACAAATTTATAGTTCTAGTGTTGCTAAATTATGCTTAACTTTAAGTATGCAAATTAGTATTTTCCTGTTAACCATATCAGATAAGTACCACATTAATTTAAAATTACTCACTACTTTACTTCATGAGACTGGAGATTGTGAAATTTCTCACCAATACTGCAAGTAGCTGCTCTTTTCATATGAATGGTGCCCAGGGCACTGAAGCTGAATTTTACAGATGTCTGCACATTAATGCTTTCATACTCAATATTGAGGTGTAGCCCCAGGAATTTAGGGGCTCTTATCAGCTATAAGGGTCAATGACTGAAAATGGACTTTTACATTTACTTATGTAAATGTAAAAGCCCAAAATGTCTAAGAATTCAATAGGTGTTTTCCTCAGCTGTTTTAAATTAGTGCAGGTTTGGTTTACCAATTTCAATCTAGTCTCATGTCCAGTTGTGGCCAGTTGGCCATTTTGATTAAAGTAGATCAAAACTCTGTTCACTTTGCTCTTTTGAACATCTTAAGTACATTTTATGGTGGTGCAAAAGTAACAAAATAGTCTGAAATAAAGAACACCCATGTTGATGAGGGCAATATATTCCTTCCCTCTTGTGCTTGGTGAACTATCCCAACACCTGCACATGCTTGGTTTGTGTTGAATGACTTCAATTTGTACAAGACAGTCTTCTAGGAATTATGCATCAGAATATACAGTCAGGTCTTTGCCTTGCTTTGATTTTACGGATTTAAGTTACCCTGTTGAAATAAGTATTTTCAAATATTTTGAAACATTCCTGGTTTCAGTAGCATGGTGGGTTTGGTTTTTTAGAATTTTTAGGGTCTTGCTCAGATCCTTCAGGATCTGAACACTGAAATAGATTTAAAAATTCTCCTGTGTCTGAAGTTTCATCAGGGAAGCATAACAGAATGGAAGAGCTATATAAAAATAATTAAGTGAGTGTAAACAGAAAACAGACTAGCCAGGAAAAAACCCACCAAACTTTCCAAGCTCCTGGTAAAAATCAGAAATATGTGAATTTTCTAGGGAATCTTACGATATAGTGAGAAAATCAACAATGAAAATCAAATAGTCGGGGATTACTTTAATAAGGAAGAGTTATAGATGCGTTTCTAATGGAAGATGTTTTGCTTGATCAAATAACATGAGAAAAGCACAACAGATACAGGTTATCAAATTCTTCTATCACCTGTACTGGTTGCAAATTGGAGTTTTTTTCTTAATCAGATACTTGGGAATTAGCTGTTATATTGATTGTTAACACATTCTCCCTCTTGTTTCAGTTAACCAGATCTTACTGTTACTACTTGTCTTAACTGTGTGTGCTATTCTGTATAACAAAGTTCACCAAGTGCCCTTGGCATTGAGAAATGAAACAGGTAAGTGACTCTCACTTCAGTTTCATTTATGTTCCTGTTTTGTATTCCTCGTGTCTTAACTTGAACAGCACTTTTCACCTTACTGAATGTCCTGCAGTAGATGAGCTACTCTCACTGGTGCATATAGTCTGGGATGAAAAGCATTTTGCTTCTGAATTACTTGAATAAAATTATAGGAGATTGATAGTGATGACTAAGAGTTGTAATTCTGATTAAGTTTTTATCCAGATGTCACTGATGTAGATGGATGCTAGAATATATCCTTACTTGAGCTGAATAGATTGGAGTTGTCAAGTGGTAATAAACTTTGATCACGACCTGCCTCCTTGGGAATGTTCTTGGCTTGATCATTCATTTCAGATAGATCATCAAATCTTCATATTTACAGCAGAAGTTTTAGCTGGAATTTTTGTAGTGATAGAAACCTGCTATGGTTAATAAGGTTGAACTAGTATTAAATGTCTATATAAATAGCCTACTCACTGCTACCAAGGTAAACAAACTCTGCCTTGATATAAATAATTTATTTTCAGTGTATTTTTGTTGGGGTTGTTATGACTGTAATTGTTATGTTTTAACCATATAGTTATATCTGTTTAAGTTATGTAAGTTAATCTGTACTAATCAGGGATAAAAATCTTTAGCAGGAGTGTGACCTGATTCAGTGTAGTTTAGGATTTTTTTTCCCTTCAATCATAGGAACTTCCTGCTGATATAAAATTTTGCACTTTTCTTTTCAAGCCAGCTTACCAAAGAAGTAGAGCTCATGCAATTGCACTGTCTCTTTCACTTACCTCCTTCCTTTGATAATTTTGGAATATATTGTGCAATTTGTACTAAATATAACTGAGAAGTAGAAGTCTCAAAGGTGTTCAAGCCTCTCCAGATTTCATATGAATAAGCAGCTTCATGAAGGACAGGCTGAATTGTGCCCCTGCAGAATAGAAGATATTGAGAACTCTCTTATTTATGCTGTTTGGAGGCATCCAACAGTCCAGTCAATCTGCAAGTGGTTCTGGATTAGCAACAGCTCAAATTGTGTGCCTTGCGATATGGGGATGTGTGTAGGACGTAGTAAGGAAAAATGGAGTGCTGATAAAATGATTCCACTGCTTATGGTAGTTCTTACTCGTTTTCGTGACCCCAGGTCTGATGTAAAATGGGTTTGTTCCTTGTAGTGGATTTGGAGAGCCCTGAGGAAGTGGAGGAAGAAATCCCAGTGGTGATCTGTGCTGCTGCAGGCAGGATGGGCGCAGCTGTGGCAGCGATCAGCAGCATCTACAGCAATACAGAGGCCAATGTTTTGTTCTACATCATCGGGCTGAAGACAACCATCCCACACATTCGGTACACGCCAGCCTTGCTTTGTTCTGGGCTGTAGTTAGAGCCACGTTGTTGTTTCCCCTAGCACAGGCATAACCACTTCTGGACTTCAGATGACTTCTCAGGGAAATGTAGTGGTGTTGGGAACAAACCCATGGCTTCTGTACATGATGTCGTCCACAAGGCACTGACTCCTGCAAAGGGGTGTGAGATAGCCAGGCCATGCCATACCCGTTCTTAGGTTTTCGTAGATAGGCTGCAGAAGAGTCTGTAGTAAGGTGAGAATACACTGCCTGCTTGTCACAATCCTACTTTGTGGCACTGCACTTACCTCTCTTCTGTGCTGGGTCTTCAGCTTCAGAGTAGAAAAATCTTACTGTTTAAAGCTAATTGCAGTTGATGATGTATTAAGTTTATAAAGAGAGGCCCAAAAGATATTGTGATGACTTTCCTTTCTTTCCATTTCACTTTGTTCCCTAATTTCTTATTTCCTATTATGAAATGAGAATCCTTTGTTTCATGACAGGAAATGAAATCTCATGATTTCAATGAATATTCATCTCATTACATTTCAGTTCCTTTCACAGCACTTCATTCTATTCAATTTAATTGTTTTCACTTCATTTCAGAAGTTTTTTCTTCTCAATTTCACTGCATTGTATTTTCCTTTCTTTTCTATCCTTTTTGCTTTAATCCTTCATTTCTCATTTTATTTCTGTTCCTGAAACGAAAATTCCTCATTCATGAAAAGGAAATGAAATCTCAAGATTTCAATGAATATAATTTCTTGAGGTTTCATCTCAGTTCAATGCACTTAATTTCATTCTATTCCCTTTCTCTTGTTTCACTTCATTACATAGTTTTATCTTTTTTTTATTTCATTTTATTTAATGTCTCTTCATTTCACTTCATTCCTTCATTTGTTATTTAATTTCCTTTCATGAAGTGAGAATTCTTAATTTAATGAAAGGAAATGATATCCTGATATTTAAATGAATGTAATTTCATGAATATTCAATTCATTATAGTTCAGTGTTCAAATTTGCAAACATTGTCTTGAAGAGGACCAAATTGTGAATGCAAACTAAAACATTTCTTAGCTGTTCTCACCTCTGGCCACTTCACTTCTCTAGCCTTTGTACCTGCAATTTGTGTCAGGAGAGAAAATAAACAGCAGTGATAAGAAATCTGACAAAAGTATGAAAAGAAGATCAGCTTAGTCTAAAGAAAACATAATTAGGAGGGGATGTAGAAGTCATCTGGAAGAATATAAAGCTTTGAAAGGGAGAAGACTAACCTCAGATTTAAAAGTACTGTAGATAGAGTAAGAAATAATAATACTTGGTTATAGCAGAAAACTTAGAATATAGTTTATTGGAAGTAATGGTGAAATATTAGTTGTTTGGGCTGCACACGGAGTCTCTGGTTTTGTGAGTGGTGCGGTGTGTTTGTTTTACTGAGGTTTTGTGGGGGAATTTTTGTATTTTAGGAATAAGTTTAACAAAGGTCTGTGTACAATAGCTATAGACATAAGTGGTTCTGTCTTGGGATAGCATAGATCAACTGAGCTTTCAAGGTCTCTTATTATTCTCCTAAGTGTCTGTGAATTTCATGCTGGAAGTACTTGCCACACACTTGATATTTCTTTTATCACTTCTTTTCTTTGCATCACAGAAAATGGATTGAAAATTCTAAACTGAAAGAAATAAAGTTTAAGACTGTGGAATTCAATCCTATGGTACTAAAAGGAAAAATCAGACAAGATGCATCACGTCCTGAGCTACTGCAGCCTGTGAGTCAATTAAGACCACATAACAAATTATTGAAGTTTTTAATACTTATTATGGGCTTTAAAATGTCCTAGATCTGTTCCATTTCATGCAGGGTATGTGTGTATATGTCTCTTCCAATGCATGAGCCAATGACCATGAGATGAAGTTAGTCAGAGTGACAGCAAAAAAAAGAGATGTTGTACACTTTTCATACAATGAGTACTGCACCTCTAGAATTCCTTGCTGAAAGGTTTTGTGGATGAAAAAATGTACAGGGGTTCAGTTAGGATCAAAGTTCATATTTAGATCCCTCTAGATCAGAAAATCCCTTGAGCTGAAAATAGCTGAAAGCTAGGAGAATACATGGAGCAACTGTTCTGGATGCTTGCTCTATTTTTATTTTTCACTGAGCATCTGGTTAGGACCACTCTGAAGGCAGGGGCTGGGTAAAATAGTCTGAATTCTTCCAGTTGTTTTTACATTGTCAGTCCCTCTTTTCTCTGCTCTGTTCTTCATTGCTGTTGTAGAAATTGTCCGATGTCATCAGTCAAATAATTCCTTTAGAGTGGATTGATGATACTATTGCATATTGAAATGTTTAGTGTGATGTATGCTGGAAGAGCATTGGCAGCAGGTCCAGAAAGGTGCTCCTTCTTCTCAGATCTGCTCTGCACCTGAAGTGCTGTGCCCAGTTCTCAGCCCACCAGTAAAAGAAAGATAAGGGCTTACTGGGGCAAGTCCAACATGGGCTGCAAAAATTATGAAGAGGCTGAACCATCTTTTATATGAGAGGCTGAAGCATCTTTCTTGAGAGGCTGTTGAGGCTGTTTCAGTCTGGAGAAGACAAGATTCAGGAGGATCTTATCAATGTATGTAAATGCTTGAGGGGATCAACAAGAGACAAGGGGAACAAATAACATGAAATTCCCTCTGAGCTAAAGAAAAGGCTTTTTAAAGCACGAGTTTAAAAGTCTTAGGTTGCCCAGAGAGACTGTTGGGTCTCCATCTGTGGATGTATTCAGAACACAACTGGGCATGGTCCCTGTCAGTCTGCTCAAGTGGACTCTGCTACACCTGGGGGATTGAACAAGAGGATCTCAAAAGGCCCCTTACACCCTAAAGGATTCTGTGAGGAAGCAGCAGATTTGGGCTGCATGGTTAGGGTCATAGTGGATAAATAAGAACAGCAATATTAGTAATAATACTGGATTTGAGATAGTAGTAAAGCTGTGGGGGAGAAAGTGAATGGTCACTGATTAGTGCTCAATAAAGAGAGCAATTCTGACTGACAAAATTGAGACAGAAGCCTGAGACTGCTGCATTAAACAGTCTTTGCCTTTTCTTTCTCTTTAATAGCTGAACTTCGTTCGATTTTATCTTCCTTTGCTTATCCAGAAACATGAGAAAGTAATATATTTGGATGATGATGTCATTGTTCAAGGTAAGCTGTTGTCTAAAAAGCAGTTTCTAACAGATTTACAGTCCAAGTTATTGCAGCTTTTAGAGCCATTTGGAAATAAGAGATAGAAATTGAGGCAGCTGCTAAGTGTTGAATTTAGGGAAACTACAAATAATCTGTTTAAATGAAAGTTTGAGGAAGAACTTACCTGCATTTATTTTGAATAATTGTGATCATAATTTTATGTAGGTTAATTTAAATTGATTCTGGTCAATTTCTGAAAGATACCATGGATTTCACTCATATACTGCAATGTTTATCAAGTGTGTGATACACATTTCCTGCTAGTATTTGAATTCCCACAAGTGCTACCAATTCCTTATCCAAAATTGCTGTTCTTGAGAGCAAAAGGAATTTACTCAAATAATAGGATGGAAGCTCCAAACACTCAAAATAAGGTTTTGAGCACCTCCAACTCAGAATGCAAAGCAATTTGCAGAATCATGAAGATTTTGGAGTTCCTAGTCAAGTGGGAGCTCTTAGAAGACATTCAAATCCTGAAAAAAATTTTTTTTTCTTATCATCCAAGTGATCTCTTTTGAAGATCAATTATTTTTTAATGATCAATTTCTTGTGAATTTTTTCTGTTCTGTTTCCAAGTTGTTGGGGTTCTTTTCTCTGTAGAGCTGTTGTCTTCATATTTGTTTTATCATATTTTCTTGTTACTTTAAAGCACTTTTTAGCAAGAGTGTTGTGCTTTAACCCTAGTGGGCAACTAAGAAAAATTTCCTTTGGAAAGACTGAGTATAACTACAATAAATTTTTTTGCCTAAATTAGTCTTTGTTATAAGAACATTAAGACCAGTAAATTTGCACATGACAAAAGCACAATTCTCCACTGCTTTTCTGCTCCTTTTTTCAGTTTTGTCTCTACAGAGGCAGATTTCAGACCAGCTGCACTTAAAGGGGTCACTATTTGCTGCTTTGTAAAAGACAACTAATCTGTTCTGTCTCACTTTAATTTGCCATAGACTTCCTATCACAGTTCTCCAACATGGGTGTTTCTAATGGCAATCGCTGCTTTTTGTTTTTGTTGTTCTGTCATCAATGTGCAGCAGCAATGTTTAACTCTTTGGAAAGTTCTAGGTCTTCATTTAGACTCCAATTTTGCGAGCAGCTCAAGCTGAGCCGTCCCCCGTCACCCCTCCCTGCACCTGTGTTCACCAGCACTCTTCGCCTGGGGGTGTTGGCTGATGGTGATTGTGGAGCTGCAGGATAAAGGTGCAGTTTCACATCGCCCCTCATGGTGGGCTGCTGCTGATCAAGTGGCCTCTCCTGTCCCCAGGCAGCTCCTCTTACGTGTGTAAGCTGCAGCTGTGCAGCTGCAGAAGCAGCTGGTTCAGCAGTCTGACCTGGCAGAAGACCGGCAGTACACGAAATAAAAGAGACTAAAGCAAAAGAAAAACTGGAAGCTGTAAGAGGTTGGGATGCAGGCTCACTTAATTGCTGTGGAAGTGCTCTGCTTCCCACTGTTCTGAAATTGTTCTGGCACATCTTGGGTACCTGATAGTCAGGTGACGAGTGAGGTGACAGGCATTGCAATGTTTCCCTCCACCAAGAAGGAGCTGAGTGGGCTGTGAAGCCAGCAGGGATGGTGAAATGACAGGCAAATTTCAATCAGCCATTGCTGAGAATCCAGGTATCTTCCTAGGAGATAAACATGCCATAACAACAGAAAAAACCTCATCCGTGCAAGACATTGAAGTGGGACTTCTGTGGGACTTGAAGAGGCTCAGAAAAATAACCTGTGCCTTCCCTCTCCATAGACAAGCTCTATGACTGCACAAGTTTGTAACCAGGGTTTTTAAAAGTCCTATCGACTTCTGCTGTGGTTGATTTTGGACAACCAATGAATATGAATGTATTGAATACCAGTGATAATATCTAAATATAGGTCTTAGGCATCCAGGTGCAAATTTGAAAATGGTTCCATATTACAAAATTCAATAGGAGCTATCCTCCAAAACTGGTATGTTTATAAGTAAGACATGAGAGCTGACATCATCCTGTCAGCTCTGTAGCAGTGCAGTAGGCGTTGTCTGATGCTTGTGACCTTTTCTGTAATCAGGTGACATCCAGGAACTCTATGACACTAAGTTAGCTCCTGGACATGCAGCAGCTTTTTCAGATGATTGTGATCTGCCTTCTACACATGAAATGGTTAGAAGTGTAGGGATGCAGGTAAGATGCCATTCTGGAATTCTAATAATGAATGTGTTTGCACATAAGTGTAAGATGATTTTATGTGTTTTCCACAAAGTGAAAGTTTTATGTATGTGTGTATATATATATGGCTTTGTAATAGTTGTACAGGTAATTAAGGACTTTTTGTGGCAGTACAATTGTGGTGCTACCAAAAGACAAACATAGTGAAGGAAAAGCCTTATCAAACTTCCATGGTACAATATTGTGGAAAAAGTAACTTAATATCTGGAGGTATCCTGCCTTACAGCCTTGTCATACAGAACTCATGACAGGTAACCACCATCTAGAAACTCATCTTTGGGAGAGCATATTTAGTCTCCTTCTCAGTGACAGTGACATGCATTTACATATATCTTTACAGAGATTCATAGGGGATGAACATACTTTTTTTTATTTCTTAGAACACATACATGGGATTCCTGGACTACAGAAAGCAAGCCATTAGAGATCTTGGCATCAGCCCCAGCACCTGCTCCTTTAATCCTGGAGTAATTGTTGCTAACATGACTGAATGGAAACATCAGCGGATTACAAAGCAGTTGGAAAAGTGGATGCAAAGAAATGTAGAGTATGTGTAGAAATCTAACTTTGCACTTTACTTTTAATACTTGTTTTACAGTTTTACTTTCTGTTTAAAAGCTCTTACGGGTTTTTTCTTTTTTTAACTCCAAGCTGTCTCTCTTTTGTGATCTTGTCAGGTAATATAACTCATATTCTAGTATTTCCATCTGTTTAAATCTGACCAATTCTGAATCAGGAAATGGCCACTTGGAATTTTAGTCTTGTGCTCAATCACAAACCACACTTAATCCTGTGGGACATTGAGAACATGTGGTTCTCATTTTGGGTGACCAACTTAGCCTAGGATGAAGCCACTGAATGATCTTCCCTTCCTGAGGCTAGCTTAAAGAAGGAGGAGTATTTCTTTCTTGCCAGATACTTATTACAAAAGGCAGAAGATTAAAAATAAAGATCCCTTGGGTTTTGAACATATCCTTTTATTTTTCCTTTTGCAGGGAAAACCTCTATAGCAGCACCCTTGGGGGAGGTGTGGCAACCTCCCCAATGCTGATTGTATTTCATGGAAAATATTCCTCTATTAATCCTATGTGGCACATAAGGCATCTTGGTAAGTTTAATTTCTCACAGTTTGTGAGTTGGAATTAAGGTGAGCTTGTGAGATTCCACTGCAAGATCTTAGATGACTTTACCTCATGTACCACTTACATGGAAAGAATATATGAAATATCTGAATATAGTGAGAGTCTGAAAAAAAATCACTCTCTTTCTAGGTGCAGTGGAAGAAAAGGGAAGGTCTGGCAGTGTTTCTTGTCAACATTTTGGAGGATGTAGTTACTTTCACCTGGGAGTGATGAATTATCCTAGGAAAAACATAAAGAGATTGTCAAGATGTTAAAGTGTTGAGAGAGGAAACTTGCCGAGATTTTTTGCCGATGCAGCATAAGAGGCATCAAGCTGAAAAAATCTACTGTATCATACAACTAGTTGTAGATTAGCATGAAAGCATACAAATCAGATTTCTGAAAAAAGTCACCTGAATTTAACTCACTCTACAGTGTCTTCCATTATCAAAACCTGCATTTTTCAGATTATTTTTTAAATCTACCCACGCAGGTTGGAGTCCTGATGCCCGTTACTCAGAGCAATTTCTTCAAGAAGCTAAATTACTTCACTGGAATGGGAGATACAAACCTTGGGACTACCCCAGTGTCCACACTGATCTGTGGGAAAACTGGTTTATTCCTGACCCTTCAGGGAAGTTCAAATTAACCCGTCCTGACAGCTGATACTGAAATACTGCATAATGTAGTGTATGGGATGCATTTATAGTTTGAGATGCAACATGCTATATGATTAACTGACTTTAGAAAACAAAGTATTTGTTAAAAATGTGAATAACTGACCATCAGTTTTGTGTGTATATGGCAGGTGAGGGAGGCTGGAGTGACCAGTACACAGTTCAGATTATACTGACTTTCATGTAAGGTGAGGAAACAAGTTTACTTGACAGTGAAGTATCTTCATTACACACTTACAGAGGTGAAATTCAGTGCCAGACAGAGTGCTTTAAGTTAAGGTGTCTCTACATAAGATTCCAATGTCTTCTGGTAGGAAAAAATCTTCACAGGAGATAGATGCAGTGCTATGTACAAGAAGTGTTTAGTTATCTAACCCACATTAAACATCCTGAATTGAAAACCTGGGCCCATGTTACTGAGTTCTGTTGTGTGGTGAGTATTTTGTGGCATCTCTGTGTATAACACATCCGGTAGTGCACTTAGCAAGATGCAAAATACATTCCAATACACTGCAATACAATTCCTGATTTTATTGTGAAACATTGATAGATTTAAGACAGATTAAGAACTTCTGTATCACTGTAACAAAAAGAGCACCAGTTTTGAGGGAGGACACAGAATTGCAGTATTTAGTGGAATGGTCATTGTACAGTCCACTGTATTTTATATTCAGATAACCAAGGGAGTGATTCCATTAAGGAAGAGACCTTTCCCTTCCAATCAAACAGGATAGCCTTTCAGGAGTAACATCCTACTGTGCTACATACTCAGCAGTGCTAATTTCATGCTTCTAATTTTGTTGAAAATAAAACTGAATTGTAACAAATCCCTGATGCAAGATACTTTGAGCACCTGCAGAAAAAACATACATGTAAACAGCAATACATGATACAGTACACTTTAAATAACAGACAAGTCCTATACCTTTCTGACAATATGTGGAACAGCTTTATGCTGCAGCTAATAAACACAATCAGAATCATAATGCACACTCACTCAGTTAAGCCACAAAATTTGGGAAGAAACTGTAAACATCACACCTGCCTCACAACAGGTTGACAGTGTGTGATCATTGTAAGAGGTGTTACAGCAGGATTAGAACCTACACTGACCAGTTACACACAACTGACAACTGTCACTAGCTGTGAAGAGGATAAATCACACTGGTACAGGAATCTCTGAACAGCATAGAGCGTGGAGATACTGTTTGTGTCTGTTTTCAAGTATGTGAAGCACCAAATGTCATAAGATCATCAAATTTTTAGTGTTTTGATCAGCTTATTGCTTTTACTTCATCTTTTCCTCACATGATGAAAGAGGGAAAGATTAGGCACCAGGATGAAATTATTTTTTTTACTCAGTCACTAATATTGGCCAGAAATGCGTATCATTTAGGCAAGTTCCTCAGAAGAGAGTACTAGTTTCTACAGACAACTTCTTATTAATAAAACAGCTGTCCCTGTATTCAACTCAGTGTTTTTAACTTTTAAGTGGAATAAAGGGAACACCCTCTAAGGTACTACAGATTAAAAAGAGTTTAATGTTAAAAACTACTAAACTGCAAATCTACTTCACCCTGTGCTAACTGTACATGATATAAATAAGATTGCTGTATGTGACTTTTAAAGAGAATGCAGTCTTTCAATTCTCTGTCTCATTCAAAGGGGTTATCTCCTGCTAAAGGTCAGGTGAAGGGACTAACTTCATTTAAATTATGAAGTTTAAATACCACAGCATTCAAGAACTACCACTGCTGTTTGTTTTTGCTTTTTTTAAAAGCAATTCCAGTTCCTTATGTTGGAATTTAAGGGGTAAAGAGATTAAGTGGGAGAGAAACCTTATCCTAAGAGAGCTCAGCTAGAATATTTAGGCCCTGTCCTGTGTGACACAAGTTTTCCTCCCATGTTGATGTGAGATGATGTCTTCACTCTCTTTATGCTCAATTATGTTACACTCACTGAACAGACAGCTTTCTCGTCCCACCCAGAAGACAGCACTCACAGCTGCAGAACACAACTTTCTAGACTTTTTAAGACAGTGAAAGGCAGATTTAAAAAGCACCATTTTCCTAACTGTGCATGATTAAAAACACCGCTTCACACAAGGTAAGGGTACATTTTCCTTTTTCCCCTCTGGATATAAAAGTATTAAGAGATATCCAAATATTGAGGCATCAGTAAAAAGTATACTGCTGCTGTTCCAACCACATTGCCATTTATGGAATAAAATTAACATCCCAAAGAAATCTTCACGAATGAGAAAGCAATTTGTCAAAAACTGCAAGAAATGGTATACATTAAATATAAAACTCATATACAAAAAAGGGCTAACTTTTTTTTAAAAAGTTTGGACAGTTCCTTAAAATTACCTAGTTCATTGATTTCAGCCTACCACACACTTATTTTGGACTATAATAAAATAACTAGGGGAGATAAAATACTATTCAGATGCTTCAGTTGGAGAACTGAGGTACCAATCTTGATCACTGCATTAAAACTGCAGCATGTGTGCATAGCCGAGAAGGAGCAGCTCCTACATGCTGCTCCCCTCCTCTTCCCGTGTCATGCCAGCATTGAACTCTGGAATCTGGTCTGCAAAGGACTGTGTCATCCACTGTCCGTTAGGAACCTCACCAAAGGACGAGCCTTCGCAGTGCTGAGGATTGCTTCCTGCCGAACAAACAGAAATCACACTGTTTTTAAAGGCACTTGACACCCCGGGCTCTTTGTCCCCCAGCCCTGGCTGCAGAATGAATGCCCCAAGCACTTTACCAGTTCCATTTGAAGACAAGCTGCACTGGTCAGTGTCATATGATGCGCGGTCACAGTAAGCTCCTCCATATGCTGCTTCATAGCCTGGGTCATACTTTTCTTCTTTGACAGCCATCTTTTTAGCATCCTCTGCAGAAACAGAACAGCTCAAGCATTAGTATTTAGAATAAAAATTATCAAAGAGCACTTTTATCAGAAAAAATTTGAAAAATGGCCACAAATTCTAGAAGATAATCCCTGCTCCCCTTTAAAAATTCAGGCTGTACTTAAGAGAATGGAATCTGTAATTCTATACCACACAGTTTAGAGAATCACATCTCCTCCTCTCCCATTAAAAAATTCTTTATTTCCTTCTGCTTGGGAAACTGCTAGTATTGTACACGACATTACATTTTAATGAAGTGTTAACAAAATAACAATACCTTGTGCAAGTTGCAAGTCAAACGTGTACTGCACCTCCTGGACCTCTGTGTTGGGTGCAATGCCTTTCAGTTGATCCCTTAAGTCTTTCAGCTTAATGTAATAATGAACTTTATCTTGTGCCCGAGGAAACTGAGCACATCTTGCACTGGATGATGGCATAACATAGCAGAGCTTGAGATAAAGAACAAGAGAAATTGCATTACTGATCTCCGAGCTATGAGTTAATACTCAGGGCATTCAGAACAACTTAACAGTTAAGCTCACTGTTTTAACTGTTTGTACAAACTTCAACTAATGCCACAGGTGGTTGTGGAATGGGTTAAAACGAGTTTTCATTTTTCTTGGCCAGCCATCTGTCTTGCCCTGAAGAGAGGAGCTGATTGCCAGCTGCTAAGTGAGCACAATTTTCACCAGTTATTTATGTGCTGCAGAAGAAGCAGTACCCATGTGTGTTACAAGAGAGCAGAGCGCACTCCAGAGCTCCCTGAACAAGCAGAGCTCTGAGCCAGGGCATAGAGTACGTGACAGCATGCAAATAGCCCAAACCAGTGAGGGAGGCAGCACAGGTTAATTAGCCTGGCTTATTGGCCAAGTGCATCTGCATGACGCATGCCAGGCTCTGAAACTGTTGTTAGTGTAGCTGCAGCCAGCTTCAATGTTTCTATATTTGTTAACAGCCCTAACTAAACATATCAAGTTAGTTCAGGAAAAACAAACTGTATTCAATACTTCTATTAGCATGCAGTCTTTATGAACAAGTAACAGTAAAGAGAATTATTTTTCTTATAAACACATTTACTATAGAAGTCCTTAAGAGCTACCTAAGGAGCAAATACTTTATCCAATGATTCTTCAGGCTCTAATGGCAACACTTCCACCTTTAGAGAAAGGCAACTGAAACTTGCAACACTAGTAATTGAGGATAGAAATAAGAAGAAAAACAATCCAAACTTTTGAACTGACAAGGTAATGAAGCTTTAGAATAAGCTACCTTGGAAAGTAGCGTAATTGTCTTTGCTTTAACTTGTTTATAAGAACACATTAAACAAATCAATTTCTAATGATACATAGCTGGTCTCTTGAGATATTTTCCAGCACTAGAGTTCTATGACTAATGCACTCTTCATCAAATTGCTTGTTTTATCTTAAGCATCCAATTTAACTTCAAATTGCAGATCAGCTTAAGGAGACTCAGTCTGACGGAAGTACTGGGGCAAGCCCAGATCCAGCAATGCTGAAGGGTCGTGTGCACTGGCACAAGGATGGACTTGCTGTTCTTTCTCCCCCACTGTGGCATTGCATGGTCATGGTCAGTATCAAATTCCAGTAATACAAATACCCAGGGAATTGGACACAGGGGATCAGATGAAAATTATCACAAAAGTAGGCATGTGTTACTTCTATTTTATGTAGTCCTCAGAGAATGCACCAACCTGCTAACCATAACATACCATTTCTCAAAAGAGGTCTGCAAGTCTGAAGAAGCTGCATTAAAGATGTGCCCAAAAACTGTGCTAATCCCCTTTCTCTATCTAAGTAGAAACCTTTCACACCTCTTGTACTCCAGTCAAACTGGTGTTATCCTACATGTGTGTAAGGCCTGAGATTTCATTAGTTTTTAAATAATCAAAATGGACTGCCCTAGTTTTGTTTCTCCATCTCAATACTTACAGTTTCTGTATCCGGTACTTTGTGTGGCTGCAGCCCAAATTCCAAGTTCTTAACTTTAATTCCAAAAACTTCTTTACTGAAAATTTCATAAATACCTAAAATGAAGATATAGGGTAAGTGGAAAAAAAAAGCTACTGGCAGAAAAAAATTCATTTTAAAGTAAAAGTTCTCACATTTTCCATTAAAAGCTGCTATACGAGGTTTATACTTTTGTAGCTTCTGCATCAGAATTCGCCCTCCTTCCCGAAACTCTTTGCTAGAAGATAAAGCACTTACAATTATAATCACAACTATTAATTCATTAACAAGCCTGATATTTCCCTTTATTGTCCTACCTGGAGAGGTCTTTGCTTCCAGGTGTTGTCCTTTCAACCATGTTTGTAAATCCAATCCCATATTTATGTGGCAAGGTGTGGTCATCCATGTGGTTCAGCTGTTCATTACTTAGACCAGACATGAACAGACATTTCCCTGTGAAGTTGGAAGACAGATATGCATTTGCCTTTTTCCAAGGAAAAGAAAACAGAACCAAAAAATTCCACTCAACTACTGGAGTACTGGAATGCTAAAGGAAGAATCTATTTTAACAAAGTATCAGTCAGTTTGGGAAGACTCCTGCCCTATCCAGAAAGTTTAAAAATATCCAATATTACTTTACCTCCTCCAAGAGGGCACAAAGGCCATAGTGAACAGGAATTCCTTATCATAATCCTGCAAACTAGTCTTTTATTCTAAAAGTTCAGTACAGACCTTTAGATTTTGTGATTAATTTAAGTAGTGATCAATATGGATTTGGGAGGAAAGACTGTGGCAAATACAATGTGTCAGCTTTTTTTGACAATCTTGCCATTGCATCTCCTTACACTGGGCCTCTCTGACAGAACCCGCTATCTTGAACTCATATTTAGCATATAAAAATCCCTCTCTGAAAAAAAACTGTAAATGCTAAAGAAGAAAGGAAAACAAAAACGTACAAAAATGGTTTCCAGGTCCCGGGTAATGATGTCCTTTGTAAGCTGCCATCAGGCCAGGGTTTATGCCAATCTACAAAGATACCAGTCCATTTTAACAATGACAACACGGCTTGCTAGTCAAGAATTTAATCAAGTTATAGTAAGAATGCTTATTCAATTCTCTCTAAGTTACTGTTAATAAACAAAAATGTATTAACGGCACCTTCCATCATTATATTAAAAAAAACTGACAATTTTGCAGCAGTGCCTCATTTAGATGTGCGAAATCAAAAGAGCAGCTCAGAGGGTGCAGAGCTTCCAGGAAATAAAGCACTGAGTCATGGGCTCTCATGAATCTGTACTAAACATGAGCCTTAGCTTTCTCAGAAATTAGGACTAAATTACTATGGCTTTAACAGAAAATGCAAAGCAGCTCTAAAAACAGGAAAGAGTTGATGTACTTTATCTTGCAAGATCTTGCCATATAAGCAATATAGGTGAGTAAGCAGAAAGAATCATAACAAGTAATACAAGACTTTTCTACCTAATCTTGTAACTTGAATTACTCACTATCACAATGTCCAGATCAAAGGTCAAAATATCAGGCAAAGTCTTGGTCAGAAGTTCAGCTTCAGATACACCATTAAAACGGTCCACTTTTCTTTTGACTTTAAAAGTATCTGTGATCTTTTCTTGTTTGCCTTTTGACTTGGCTGGTTTTTCTTTTTTAGCAGCAGGCTTTTTGGGTTGCTTTGGCTCAGTTGCTTTGGCTTTTCTTTTCCTTCCCCCTTTTTTAACTTCTGAAACACACAACAAATACTATTTTCGTACATTTCCAATGTTGCAGTGTGAATATTCAAATACATTCAGCTAAATGTGTGGACATAGAGAGAAATCAAAGAGGTAAATTTACCTTTAAAATTCATTAATTTAAGCAACACACCTGAAGCTTCCTCATCTTTTGGCTCTTAAAAGTTTAGAGATTCAAGCAGCACAGGCACTGGCCATGAAATGACCACCCAGAGATTGCTCTCTCTCTCTCTCTCTCTATGTTCATTAATAACGTTGAGCTGTAGAACAGTGTCACTTTCCAACAGTTAGTATTTGTTTAAATAAGCCACACTAAACAAAATAATTTTTAGTAACCAGTTCCCTAATTGCGAGTACTATAAAAACTAGGAAACCATTCAAACAAAAATATTCCAAATAAATTATATTGTACTTCTCTTGCAGAAAGTTAAAACAATTAGGTATTTTGAAGCCAGAATCTTAAAAAAAACTTTCTCTAACACAATATTAAAACCCATGACTTCAACTAAAATATTGTATTTACTTATTGAAAAAAAAATCTGCTTTTCTTGGAACAAGATAATCGTATGAGACTGAACAATGTGCATACATTCACATGAGTTTACTTCTTGTCTTTTTAATTGTCTGTTAGAATACGTTTCTTAAAGAATACAATTAATCGATACTCCTGCAGTGAGCATCAAGAAAAGGAAATCCAATAGGTCCAAGGAAGCAGTTTAAGAGCAGTATTTTTTCCCCAGTTAATCACTCTCACTTCAGCTCACTAGCACAGCCCAGTCGAGCTACCTTTTGGAGGCTCCTGAGCAATGTTTGGCTCTGGAATGCCCTCTAGAGTCGGCTGCTCAGTCATCATTTCCATGCTGGGCACCGCAGTCATCATCTGATGGAATGGAAATGAGTAAAACGCTTGAGCTTGCTGAAGATATGCGTAGTATCTTAGAGACAGAAAAAGAGAGAAGTAATTTATCAACAGTTTAGAAATTTACCGATGTACCAAACAGAATGTCAACATCAAATTTTATCAAGGCTGGCATGTACTGCACTTACATTCTCTGATGACTCTGTTAACAAGACACTAAATTATCCGCACCTTTGAAGCAGTCTGGCTGCTTAGCTGGTATAATTTAACCCCAACATTAACAGCACAGTTCTCTTGTGATGGCCATGATGCAAAATTAACACAGTATTTGTAAGGGAAGAGTAGAGTTTTTATATACATATATATATATATTTTTTTTGTAAAATCAGTGTAGCACACTTTTCCAAAGCAAACTGTCTATCAGACCAACAATTTACAATGCATGTTGAGCTAAAGCTCTCTGTCTCTGGACTTCCACAAGTTTCCTAAATTTTAGATCTTTTTTATGTGGTGTCAGTTGCTTGATCTGGTAAGATACAGAAAGGATCAATCATTCAGGGCTATAAAGCATTAAGAATACACATAGCATTTGCTACTGTGCAGACTATTAAATACCTTTAACGAACTGTGCAGCAGATGTTGTCCTGCTATCACACACCGGATCCCAACACAAGTATTGCGCTTATTCTACATGGAAGTGTACCCACACACAGAGATCCTATGCATAAAGACATTTTTCCATAGACAGCTCTCTCTCTCCACACATTAATTAGTCATATACAGCCCTCACACCCATTTCTGCTTCATTCTGTCACTCCCTTCTACCTACCCAGCCACCTTCTTGCCCATAGCTTCTACTGCCTCACAAATACATAGCAAGGACTTGGTGAACAGCAGATTTTCAGGAAATAATTTTATCATCTCAGAGCTATAATTAAAAACACAATAGAGATATTTGTCCAAGAAGGCCAATGGCATCCTGTATTAGCAATAGTGTGGCCAGCAGGTCCAGGGCAGGGATTGTCCCCTGGACTTTGCACTGCTGAGGCCACATCTTGAGCCCTGTGTTCAGTTTTGGGCCTTTTACTACAGGAAGGTGCTGGAGCATGTCCAGAGAAGGGCAACAGATCTGGGGAAAGCTCTGGAGCAGCTGAGGGAGCTGGGGGTGTTTACCCTGGAAAAAAGGAAGCTCAGGGGTAACTTTATCACTCTACAACCACCTGAAAAGAGGTTGAAGCTGATCTTGTCACTCAAGCAACAAGTGACAACACAAGGGGAAATGACCTCATGTTGTGCCAAAGGAGGTTTATATTGGATATTAGGACAAATTTTTTCATGGATAGGGCTTTTAACTATTGGAATAAATTGCCCAGGGAACTGCCCAAATCACCACACTGGAGATATTTAAAAGATGTTATATATGTATAAATTTATAGGCAGGGTTTAGTGGTGGGCTGGGCAGTGCTGGGTTAATAGCTGGATTCGATGACCTTAGAGGTCTTATGCAACCTAAATGATTCAAAAGAAGAGAGCATTCTCTACTACAACTGGGTTTTTAAGAAACCCACTGTAAATCAGTCTTATGCAAGAAGAACCCACAGTCTTGTAATCAAGACACTATTTTTAACCCAAATATCTATCCTGAAACAAGGAGAATAAATATGAACATAGGTCTGTCAGGTTCCCAGGGAAGTTGCCTAGGAAAGCTATAGGAGATTTTCTGAGTACAGGGAATACCTTAAACCCTCTACTGGAAGAGTTCCACTTATATAAAATACTTGTGTAGTTAATGAACCAAAAAAAACTGATTTTCAGATTTGTATTGAGAAACTGAGACATGCAGAATCTAGTTCATAGTGTAATAAAAGCTTAATCATACAGACCAGAACAGAGTGAGTAAGAAAAATGTGAAAGCATCTAAGACCAAATATCTTTTTGTAATACAGACCTTCTTATTTTATGTGTACATAAAGTCTCCTTCTAGCAAAAGGAATAAAATTCCTCTTGAACAGAGAAAAAAAATTGCACCATACCACAAACAAGTTCTCTAACCACTTGCTAATGAGATGAAAGTGAAGTTTTACCTCTACCTCTATTTTAGGCCAGATTTCTTGCGTGGGTTCAGAAATACTTCTTTTTTATTTTTGTTATTGATGTATATATATTATAGAACATTAAATAAGTACTTTCAGTATCACAAGGAAAAGGTAGCGATTTGTTCCTCTCCCCTCCCTTCAGTTCATTATTTTTTCCTCTCCCCACCCCCTCTCCCCATCCGTTCATGCTAAAAACAAAGGGGAAAAAAAAGAAAAAGGTAAATAAAAATACATGTTCACTGGAACAAAAGCAGGTATTACGTAATTTTCAAATCCCCTCTGCAGTGACAGAGACGCCATCGCGCCGACGCTGCCCAGGGCAGCCGCGGGCCCGGGAGCCCCGGGAGCGCCTTCCCTCCCTCTTTGTACCCGGGGGAAGGGGACGGAGGCGGCCGCCACAGCGCGGCCCCGGCTTCCCGCGGGATGCGGGGAAGGAGGAGAAGGACAAGGGGCGATCCCGGGGCGATCCCGGGGCGATCCCGGGGCGATCCGCAGCGCGGCCGCGGGCGGTACCTGCCCAGCTCCGGGCCGTCCATGCCGGCGCCGCCGCTCCCGCACCGCCGGCCCCGCGCCCCCACCGCCCCCGCTCACGTGACCGCGCCGGCCAATGGGGGCGCAGGGCGGGGCCGCGGCCGCCCCGGGCGGGTCCGTGAGGGGCGGCCGGGCCGGGCCGCGGCCGCCGCGGCGCGACTCACCGCCTGGCGCGACGCTCCCCGCTGCGGCCGGCCCTCCGCTCCGCTGCCCGCTTCCCGCTTCCCTGTTCCCTTCCCCCTCCCCCTGCCGGCGGCGGCGGGGATGACGCACGTCCGGCGCGGGGTCCGCCCCCAGCCATGCCCGCCGGCGTGTCGTGGCCCACCTACCTGCGGGCGCTGGCGGCCAGCATGCTGGCCATGCTCGCGGGGGCCGAGGTCGTGCACAGGTACTACAGGCCTGACCTTGTAAGTGCTCGGGGGTCCCGTCGCTGGTAGCGTGTGTGCGGGTTGGAGGGTCTGTGCCTCGGAAAGGTCTCTGGCCTGGCGGCGGACGCAGATCAGCCTCTACAGAGGCATTGGCCAGGACTTCACTGTGGCCAGTGCTCGGCGCCTCAACGCAAGAAAGTCAAGGAGCTGCTGGAGCGGCTCCAGGGAAGGGTCATGAAGACCCTGCGTCTCTTGGGAGAGAAGACTGAGACTGGATCTCATTAATGCTTATAAATACCTTAGAGGTGGGTGCAAAGAGAATGGCGCCAGACTATTTTCAGTGGCGCCCCCCGACAGGATGAGGAGCAAAGGCCATGAACTAAACCACAAGAAGTTTCACCTTAATATGAGGAAGAACTTCTTTCCACTGAGGACGGCAGAGCACTGGAACAGTCTGCCCGGGGAGGTCATGGAGTCTCCCTCTCTGGACACATTCCAACCCACCTGTGTGATCTGCTCTAGGTGACCCTGCTTAAAAGGGGGCTTGGGCTGGACGTCCCCTCCAGCTCTTACAATTCTGTGATTCCTCTGGGGAGTCACCTGCACTCTGGACATAGTACCATGTGTCGAGAAGGGTTGTCTGCTGTGGGAAGCTGGGTTTTGGAAAGAGTGTCCAAAAGTGGCAAGAAGGGGCTATACTAGATTTAAATAGACTATTTCCTCCAGTGATGGAAATGAAGGTGACCAAAAGTTGACATTAGAAATTATGACAGACAAGGCTGTCAAGATTACAGTCACAGAACTAAACTCTAAATGAGACTATCCACTAGGGATAATAATGGTTTGGTTTAGCCTCTTGGAGGTCTGACTTGGAAGCTTTCTCTCAACCTCCTGCTTGTGTATAGTTCTTGGGTTTTTTAATTTTCTGGGATACAAGTTTTAAAAAATTACCATTGCTTTAGCTGTCAGCTCAAAATTTAAGCAATGATGCTTCAATCATTGATAAATACATTAGAATTTATGTGTTTTAGTAGTCTTGACTGTAGTCTTCATTACAGGTAAATTGACATATTTATTCAGAGTGCTCAAATGCTATATATCTCTTAAGTAGCATGAATTTTGAGGAGGTGCAGTTCTTGAAATGTCATGTTATCTGGTACCTTTTAAAAATTTTATCTCCAGTTTCAATGCCTTATTTCTACATCAGAGCAGTAGAAGCAGTGAAACATTTTCTTCTATCACCAAGAGTATGTGTGGAAACTTCAGCTGTGCTAGAACATCTCCACAAAACTCACTTTAATGGCAAAAAGAAGCTTTACTCCTTGAAAACAAACTGTTCTTCCTTTCATCTTGAGGTTTTTTTTTTTTTTCAAATTGTATTTTGCTACTTTAAAATTAGTCAAATTACAAAAAGGTAATAATTATTAAGGTGTTTTGCCTGTAGGAATTATATTCTGCTCAGAAAAGAGGGCGGTAAAATCACAGTTTAGCCCTCATGCTCTTCCCAGAGTAAGCTCATTTACTGTTTTGGGGGTTTAGTTTTTCCTCTGTCACAACACTGATGTCTTTCTCTGTTTTTAATAGAGCATACCTGAAATACCTCCTAAGCCTGGAGAACTGAGAACAGAGCTGTTGGGTCTAAAAGAAAGATCAAGCGAAGTTCAGACTTCACAACAGTGACCAGAGTTTATTTTCATTGTGAAAATTAAAACTGATAAAATATTTGTCCAACTGTTTAAGTTGCAGAAATACATATGTGAAATACTGTGCTCCTGTAATGTGTCTTTGCTTTCCTTTGAGCAGAGTTGCAGGCAGCATTAAAAACAAACATACAGTGAATGCTGTTGGTAAAACTCCCATCAGTTCTGTGCCAAAATGCTTGTGAATTTTTAAATCTGGATTACATTTTAAGTATCCTTCAGAATAAGGCATCAAACCATGACACGGATTTATCACTGACAGGAAATCTGCTTCGGTCCACTGTAAGGCTGGAATCTTACAGCTTTCTCATTTCAGTAAAAATGGGACAAATATGTACAGATTACACTGAAATCAGATTTGTTTGTGGTCCATTTGGGCATCTGCATCTGTCTATGGTTGCTTTTGATAGCTGTAAATAGTCAAAACTCTGAAATAAGAAGTGTAGGTTTACCTTTCAGTCTGCAAATAGAATCAGCACAACACTCTTGCACCAGGAACTTGAAGATTCAGTCACCATCCTATGAAGGTGGCTCAACAACCCAGTTTTGAATGGTACAGTATAGAGCTTGGGAAGGTTGGGATTGTTTTACTTGAGAAAGATGCCAGGACAAAGCACAGGCTTCATCCTCAGTTGTCACTTGATTGAACTTGTAAAAACAATCTAACACATTACCCAGTAAGGAAACAAAAAGCTCCCCAATTCCTACTGCCAAAGTACTTGGAAGCCTTTTAAGAGCAGAGGTATCCAGAAATGATCACAGTAAGTGCTACATTTACATCAGTTCTGGCTATGAAGCTATTATTTTATTTATGCCTACCTATGCTGGAGTGGTTTTCCTAGGAAGAAAGGTTTATAGTTCTTAGGCATGTGTATGTGTGTTCTCTCACCAAGTTGTACAGCTGTTGGTGGGATGAACTCCTCTCCTGCTCTTGTTTGCCCATGTGTGCACGTTTTATATAACTAGATCACATCCTCTCTCTCAGGCACCTTTGTTAATGACAGCAAGCAGGCAGTGAGAGAGAGGCCCTGGTAAAACACAGATGTTAAGCCCAAACAAAATCTATCAATGAAAAAGTCTTAATAGATTGACTTCCGGTGAAAAGACTTTTTCCTTTACTGCACCTAAACAAAGCTGAGATTGGCAATCTTCTACTTCAGCAGAAGATAAAGTTTATTGAGGCAAAAATGGGACAGTTCAGCAGTATTTTGTTTCTGTTGTAACTGGGGCATAAACAGCAGTTTTTTGATGATCCCTTTAACAAGCCAGCATTCACCAGCCCTGGCACTGTTACTCACACTTTGTCAGATTATCACCTCTTATGTTGTTGATTTCTGACATGAAAGATGCATTTCTCTCTATTTTCTAAAGGTTTTTTAGATCTAAAGGCTGCAGAGGGAAGTTTCTACTAATTAGGCTTAGATTTCTAAGTGTATCCTGCTGCTACTGGAAACCGAGCGACAGGGAGCTCTGCCTTTTCTAGCCCTGAGGGAAATACACTCATTAGTGCCCATCCAGGAATAGCAAAGCTGACAATGCACCGAGTTTTAACAGCAGAGGTGACAGCCCCAGAGTCAGCATCACTGAAAGAAACAGTGCTGACTGAGGGACACTTCCACTACTGACACCATTTTGCTTCAGAGCTGACAAAAAAAAGTTAACTTAAAAGTGCATTTTGTGCTAATAGCAAACATTTGTTACAGCAGTGTAGAGAAAGCAGCTGGACCACAGCCGTGTTGCACATGATACTCTCAGCTGAAGTGTATGAAGAAGCACAAAGCATAACTCTCAAGTATGTTCTTTATTATTTCTGAAATTTAATCAGTTTTGTCACCCTCAAAGCAACCTAAGCAACGAGAACTTCACCTATACAACAGAACTAAGTTTGCTTAAATCCACAAGTAACTTTCAGATTAAGAATACTGGAGGAGGGCACCCTTCCCCTTTAGTTTGTTAGGCAAACAAATTTTGCTTCCAAACCATACAGGGGTGGGAGCAACCTTCGCTACTCAGAGGTCAAAGAGAGAGGTGTGGATAGTAATGATACATTTCTGAGTGTATCACTGAAAAAATGTGATACTTCAGGAGGTTGATTGCTACAGAGCACCGAGTCTCACTGCTATAGTAAGGGTACACCCTTTCTGCTCTGTTCAGTAACTTAGTGCCAAAGGCTGCTGCTTCTAAAGCTGACAGTGCTGGCTGCTGAGACTCGTGTTAGACCACTCGGCCTGGGCCAATAACAAAAGGCTCTTCTCTAGGCTACCACTGCAGTGAGCAGAAATCAGAGCCCCCCACCAGACTCCCTCGAGAACCCCCCACACTAAGCTTCCTTTCCTTGACATCTCAGACTTCAAACTCTAAACCCCTAACACAACAACCACACTCGTACATGGCAAAGTTTGGGCAATATAGAAGCCTGGTAAATGAAAAGCAAGTTCTTCTGGTCAGTGTTAAGTGCTCTCACCTAATAAAGCTTATTTTGCTTCAGACTGCAGAAACTTTTAACTTCACAGAAGTTTTGTTAATAAAATAGAAAATATTGGTTCTACTTCCTATGTCCTTCCTCCACAGGGGAAGGCAAAAAAAAAAAAATCCCCCAAGTCCTCACTGTAAATATTTCCTACCAAGTCTGTGAAGATGTTTTCAAGTGGAGACACTAGTGAGAAAATGTAGTGCTTCATCCAATTACTACATAAAGCTAACATAATGAATGGAAGCTCAACATGTCTAAAACTAACCAGGTTTAACTTCAGTCACATTAACTAGCCACAGCGCTTTGCCATAAGGGACCTAAAACAAGAGTGAAAACATTTAGGAGTAACAGCATTAAGTACATATGAAAAGAACTTCCACCTTTAAAAAAGGTGTAGAAAACAGAACTGCTGTAGGTACACAAGTCAAAGGCAGGGTTTCCAAGCACCATGGAAGATGGTAATAAAGACAGTTCTGGTGGTAGTTGTCCACATAGTGAAAGGAAATGTTTTTTTCCCCCTCATCTATGAAGCTTCTGCTGCCTGTCCTATAGAGTGAAATCACAGGGTCTAGAGCACAAGCTGTTGGATTCACTTCCAATGCCATTTTTAAATGCCCCATATCTCCTCTTAGGCTTGCAGAAGATACCTAACTCAGTCTTATTTCAATTAGCAAGTTCAGTATGCCTCTCAGCTACCAGGTGCATTTGGCTAAGCAGGACAGCAGGTTTTTAAATGTAAATCCCAGCCACAGGTAGATGCTGCAAGGAGGTGTGGGCTGCGCCAGCATGGGAAGGCACAAGGATTGCCAACAAAGAGCCTGTTGCACAGTGCACCTGAATACCCAGAACCATACCTTCCGTTTCTTTCTGCCAGCCCACAAGATGAACTTGCTGTGTATAAATTTAGAGTTGGTGGTGTTTGGGAACATTTTATTTTGTACATGACAAGATTTTACACCAAGTCAGTTAAATAATACAAATTTACATTCATGAGGAATGTTTTTAGAAAAGTGAACTTAAAAAAAAAACTCCTTTACCCTTAAAACCCCAAACCAACCCTCAACATTTTACAGTGGAAAAAAACAAAACAATCTAATTCACATTCCCTCTTAACCCCCCAATGCAGGACAGTAGTTGAGTGCAGTTTACAGTTCATCTTTCACATCTGTGGATTCCTGTGAAGGCAAAAAGAGAATCAGAATATTACTTTTGGAAAGTGGAAAAAGGTTACAAGAACTGTCCCAGAAGAACAGAAATTTGTATTACTGTCATTGCATGTTATATTAGACTGCTGTGCAAACATAATAGCAGTGGCATCAAAATTAAGTAGGTATAGTATAATAAATACCATTTATCAAATCTATTCTTACCTAATCTGACATTTAACAGTAGGAAATTACATTGCTATAAGCTATGTATCTGCACTAGTCACAGGATATCATCTTGCAGGTCTCTTCCAAAAGCAACCTAAAAAAGCAGGCCCAGCTGGGACCTCACAACAACTTTACAAGTTAGTATTATAAAGAAGTTATGCTATTACAAGAGTTCAGCATATCCATCAAGACACAAACTGCAGACATGAGCTAAGTGAAGGCTGACAGCAAATGGCAGGTGAACTGTTCAGAAGCAATGGTGTTGTCTGGAGTGTTATTCCAAACATGTATCGTAAGCATTTAAAATTAGACAATTACAAGTAATTGCTCATGTTTTTGTCCACAAGCTGTGGAAATACCATGAATAATTCTCTTCACTAGAGGATTTGCTGCCATTTTCTTGCCACAGGGCACTATTACAATCTCTAAAGCTTAACTCAGCTCCAGCTTTCAATGTACCTCAGTGTCATCTTTTCACAATACAGTTTAATAAATTTGTACTGCAGTTCTTCCCCCCCTCCAAGAAAATCCTGGAACACCTGACACTAAAATCTAGTGTCATGAAAGGCAAAGTGAACTTTATTGCCAGGTAGCACCCACAGATGACGTTGCACAAAGGACAAGAAAGCATCAAACTTGAGACCTTACCTTCTGTGTTTCACTATCCTCTGCATCAGCATCCACTTCCTCTTCATCCTGTTCTGCCTCCTCAGCTGCATCTTCAGGCTCTTCAGGTTCCTCATCCACCTGTACACAGAGGTCACAAGCAATTTGCTTTACTTGCCAAGGTTGTTTAACTAGTTGTGCACTAGCACAATACAGGCTATAGAAGTATTCACTGTTATTTCCTAACATTTGCCACCAGTTACCTGAAGGAAGAAAGCAAAATCTGTCTATCACTAACACATTCCAGCACGACAGCCAGCAGTTCTTGCACAGCATTATGAGAACCTCTATTACTTGTACCCACTTAGGAATTTTTCCATTAGAGACAGGGGCCAAAGGCCTGTGTGCCCAGTTTACTCCTGTAGAGCCAGCACTTTGTTAAGGACAGGAATAGACTTCAGAAGCATAATGAAATAGAATCTCAAGCAACTATAAAGAAGAGCAAGGAAGAGGGAACGTGAGTATTAAGTACAGACTCATGGCTGGACTTTAGGTAGCTCACTTAAGTGCAGAAAGTTGGATACACTTCATTTTATGCAAGTGAATGAAGCAGCTGTGCTTTTTAA